GCTATAGCCATGCAGGGAGAGGAAAAGGTCTCTCCCATAATGGACTGCACTTGGGCAGGTCTGGTACATGGTGCCTCTGAGGGTGTAGATACAACTTCATTACCATTAGCCAAGGCCAGTGCGACCCTCACACCTCTGGCAATGGATGCACAGGCATCATAGATTTTGTAGCCCAGAGAGATGCCAGGCAGTAGGTCCGTGCTGTTATTTATTTCCTCTATGGCAAAGAGCATAGCCTGGGTATACTGGAACCCTCTGAAATTCAAACTTGATGCAGACAGTTATAAATAGTTATAAATGTAACCAATTTGTCCTTATAAAATAAACAATAGCATAAGAAATTAAAGTATTACTTAGTGTTAATACAAATAGCAAGGCATACTTCTGATTTTAATACTTAGTTTAATAAGATTTTCTGTGTCTGTTTTGTCCTAGATATTTAAAATATAAAAGGATTTTTTCAGTATAATTTACCTGGTGCATTGCAGTGGCAGTGGTTTGTGCATGTAAGTATCCTGCCTGTCTTTCCACCTGCTGTGGAATGAGAAGATTCCCCCAAATATAATGTCCCCATCCTTTGATAGCTGGGGGTTCTCAGGATCCCCTCTCCGCCTGCATACCGGCTCCTCAGCCTGAGAGAAAGACACTACCAGAAACAGCTGTAAGAGTGCCCAGCCCTGCTCTGGCCACCTCTGTGTGCACGTCATACTGTCCAAGAGAGTCAAGTCAAAAACTTTCAGTGCTATTTATACATTTTGGAGCACCATAAAAAATAATAATTGAATCATGATGTTTCATCTCTGTGGACATACCAGGTGGGTTAAGAAGAGGGAGGTGTCCAAACAGGAAAACAGTTTTGGGCCTTACCCTTTTTCAAACATCATAACTGTATATGTTATCAGATAGGAACATTAATTCATTTTTTTTCTTTTCATTTCACTTTTTTACATTAACATTTGCACATTAAAGCAACATTACGTAACCGTTCTACCTTAAAATAACAGCTTCAAAGTCATTTTGAGATTCTGAACCGAGTTGTAATAGGGTGAATGGTGATGGGGATGCTGAAGCTGATGAAGCGGCGTTAATGGCAGAGACGAAGGGACTAAGAGACGACAGAGGAAGCTAAGGAGAGAAAACTAATCTTCCTGCTCTCCAGCCACTGGTCTCCAGTAGGGCTGCCAAAAAACATCCTATATTTGATTGTATAATAAATTTGCAAAAAATATGAAAATTATGAAAATGAATAATCAGTTGTGGGGGAGAAAATAAAACGTAGGTCAAGCTGAAACAAGCAACAATTCAATGATTACACTACCGTACTGGCAGATGATTGCAGAAAGTGCCCAACCCAACTTGGTTGCAGAGAGCGTAATCCCCATTTGGAATTAATTAAATGGTACCAAATCATTCAGTGCTTCCATTTCATGCCGTACATCCAGCATGCAAGATATACTACATTTTTACATGTACCATTATCACTAAAGGAGGAAGAGGAAGAGCTTGACACAGAGAGGAGGACAGGGAAAGAGAGAGAAGCCCTTGCTGACTGCTTTGTTAAAGTACGGTAGCTAGTGGAACTGAATAGGGTTTAAACAACTGTGGGATTAGCGGCAAGGTCACCAAAAGGTGCTATGAGTGCTTGAGCATAATTAGTGTACGTTTAAACATATAGATGGTAATTACCTAGGTTGAACCTATGTGACTTTTTAGAACAAATTATCGAAAGTCATTTTTGTCAAATTTTGAGAGCACTAGTCTCCAGTCCTGCATTTGAGCCACCTGCTTCTGGTTCTGCTCTTCAGAATCTAGCCGCCGGCCTACGGCCCTGACACCAGTGGTTTATGCAGCAACTTTGCCCAACCAGCAGCCAAATCTTCTGGTGTCGCAGCAGCTTTTTAGCCTCATTGGCGACCTCCAGAGCAATCCACATAACTAAGATTATATCAAGAACCCAATAATGCTACCATTGTGTTAGTTTAACCAACTATTTTCCTGTAAACTAACTTAACCTTCATTTATAGCTGCTTTATGCTAGCATAACCTACAGTTATATTTACTTGAGATCGTGGCCCAAACACTACATTTCACCTGTGAATGTTCCTTTTTTCTGTATTGAGCGATCTTTAATGTGTTTGTTTTACGAAACTCTAGCTTATGCTAACATAATGCTTACATTTTGTGGCCTATATATTCTTTATTTTTTCCACCTTCAATGTAATTCATTCTGGGGTCTAGCAGCTGGCAAGTTGTTGACTGATATTTTGATTGACTGAACAGCCAAACCAATTGGATTCGCTGTTGCAACTCCAAGAAAGCCTATTGGTTTTGAAGGTCCTGCCCCTTCTTAAAGTGCAATATATCAGAAGTGCAATATGCATTAAACATGTAAAAAATAAAGGAAAGCAAGAGGGTTTTTGCCTCCCAGTTTGTGAATAAAGACTTGCAGGTCTGTAACTGAATACACAAACACAGTTTTCAGACAGAAAATAAAATATTTAGCCCACAAGTATGTATATGCAAGCTTGCAGCAAAGCAATTACTGTACAAGTTTACAAAGGTATAGTTAAAGATACAAAACCTTATTTTAAAATACACCGTTTTGAATCATATATTCCATATTTCTTGACCCAGAGGTTTTGTAAGCAGGAGGCTCGGGGAAAGTTAACTCTGTAAAAATTGAAAAATCTTGGGCAACAACAAAGGGGAAGTTGTCATGGTTATACTCAAGCCTCAGGAGAGAGGAAACCAAACAAGTGTGTCTGTCTGTGTAACAATGGATTTATTCGTTGATTACAATTTTATAAACTGTATTCATTTTTGTAAAATCTGTAAGGAATCCAGTAGTGGGCGGCTGTGGCGCAGAGGCAGAGCGCGTCGTCCCCTAATCGGAAGGTTGTTGGTTTGATCCCCGGCTCCTGGTGCCACATGTCGAAGTATCCTTGAGCAAGATACTGAACCCTGAATTGCTCCCGATGCCGTGCATCGGTG